TATCTCAACCCACAAGTTTTCTCACTTTTACTCATCCAGTTCTCTCCCCCATCCTACTGGTGGCAGGGAGTGAGTGAGCAGCTTTGTGTTGTTTAGTTGCCAGCTGGGGTTTAACCACAACACCCATTAAAAGCCAAATCTTGTAGCAATGAAAAAGCAGATTTTGATTCCTGGCTATGAACTAAGTAAGGAACACAAGACCTAACCCTCTTAGAGGGAATGTTGCCACCATGATACCCCAGGGGTTTCCTTTTCTCTTTTCCAATGCCCAGGGCTGTAGCTGGGTGGTTACTGAAGTGATTGATGGGTGTCAGCCTCGTTTCATTGCACCACAAGTATCAGATTGTGTAGAGAGATCTCAAATGCCCTGGATGCAGGAGAACCTATAAAAAGGCAACAAGTCCAAGGCATCTGTGGGCTTTTACCCACAGGGATCACATGGAAACGTATGTTTGTTACCTTGCTTTTGGAGACTAATGCTGATACTGAGACATTTTCTTCTTCTATGAAACCATTTTTCACAGTGCTTAGACTCATGTATGGAATCATCTTTATCCATTTGGAGGAGCGGTCTGATCAATTCTGAAGGTAATCCTTCAGTGTTGGGAACTGAGAAGACTCCGTAACACTTGCTCTGCAGGGCTTACAGCAGCATTTATCAATTATTCTGGGCCAGGGTTTTGTAGGCAGCCAATATCAGGGCTCTTAATTTAACCGTATCAGCATGTCTTAAACCTGTCTTAAGATGTAGCTGTTCTGAAATCCCTTGCTGTTGATGAATTTCTCATTTTGCTGTCCATGAGCAATATTAGCAGCTTTCTCCATCACATTCACATTCAGTTCTAATCAGATTATAAAAGTAAAACACCACATACAATATGTGAAAACAGCTCTTTCCAGACAATTCAGAAACACTCTGCCAAGTACTTTGAGACTGTTCTGGTAAACACATAAAAATCATTCATTCAAGAAGTTTTGATAAACTGACACTAAAAAAAGGAGAGAAGTACTTTCGTCTGCGTGGTTCTTGGTGCTAAAACGCAGGAAGCCAACAGCAGGTCCATACTCCAGCATGGTCCCTGTTACACGAGCAGTCTGGTGCTGGGCCAGGGCAAGTTCCCATTCACTAAGGAGCACACATTAAGCTTTTGTAAAGCTCTGAGTACTACAGAAGGTAAAATCATCCTGGGTACATCCTTGCCGTGTTTGGGTCAGTATGTTCCAGTGATTTCTATCTGACAACATCATCAGCAAGTACAGACCTGGGCACGGGGTGATATGAAGAGACCTATGATATACAACAGCCAAATGCCAAATTCTCCATCCAGTTTTGTGAGGCAGGCCTGTGTACATAAGCAGGGCTGTGTGTAACCATGGTATTAACATATATAGAACAGACGATATGATTTTGGCTGTCTGGTCTAATTCCTTGCCAAGTTTCCTGTAGTTTAATCATGATCTAATTTGAAATAATTAAATCACTTATGTTTTTTTAGAACTGTGTTTTCATCTCTAGTGCTATGAATACCATTGCTGCAATCATAGCTAGAATCATTTTTATAATAACCTATAATTTTAATTGATCAAATTTACAAAATCCTCTATAAACAAAAATCACCAAAGCAGGTTACTAACTGGTGATCCTGAACTCTGCTCCAACAGTTGTGCCAAAAGGTGATGTGTAAGTATGGGTCTAAACTTGTGAGCTTTTATAAAGTTGGTGTGTAAAGTTTAAATCCAGACCTGTATCTAGAATTCATTTTTTTTTAAATCAATGTTTATCTTTCTTCAGATTCCTGGCTGAGGAAGCTTCTTGACCTAAAAGTATTGAAAATCTAGACCTGATTTTCTAGCATGACAGTTTATTATCTTAAAGCAATACACAAACTAAACACAGACAATATGAGGGAAAAGTGTGGGTTGAGTGGAAAATGTAGGGACATATGCTTTATATTTGGTTTGGTTTGTTAGAAAACACTCAGTTCTTGACTTCTGCTCTATTCAAAAAATAAAATAATTGCACATGATGGAAATTTACAATCCAGAACTTATTCTGTGTTTCTTGTACAAATTCCTTGTGAGTTTTAGCACAAATAATAAATAAAATGCAAGAATTGGACTACCTGCTTTTTTAAAGTCAATTGCTTCAAATATCTTCAAGTCTAAACAACCATGACATAAATCTTTCTAATGAAAGGACATGTGCAGAAGTACAAGCTTAGGGCTTTCATTTTAAACTAAAGGAACTCTCTGGCTTCAGCTAGTGAGAGCCTGGGTTTTGTTCATCAGATTTTTCTCATATTCTTAAAATTGTATTTGTATTCAGTTTCATTTGAATATGTTTTTGATTTGTCCAAACAGCAGATGGCTATCATAAAGAGTCTGTATTTAACTTGGCACTTTCCATTCCACATTCCTTTACTATTCATAGCACAGCAGTCATACTCATCTCCAGTACACATAAAAGGAGGCAGTTTGACTTGCAGCTGCAGATCTCCTCAAATGTTTGAGTATTTACAAACTCACAGCACTATTTTTTTTAATGTTAAGAAGACCAGATAGTAGACGTAGTGGGTGGATTTTTTTTTTCCTCTCTACCACTCTCATGAAATGACAGAAACCGGGACAGAAATTAAACGTGTATCTGTAGTAAGGAACCCCCACACTTAAAATTAGATTCATGTAGAGCCCATGTTGGTACAGGGAGAGTGGGACTATACATGGGCAGAAAAATTTGCTCTTGAAGACACAAACTGTCAAGCAACATGAAGAATAAAATGTTCATCTGATTGAAAAACAAGACTACTTAAAATGTGTAAGAATAAAGGCATCTGTGCTAGAGTAATGCCTTTTAATTACTGGGGCTTCACAAGGAAGAATTTGATCCTTTTTAGTATTTGTAAGCAATATCTTTTTTCTTCAGTTGCTAATAGCAGAATGTGTTAAATAAAACCAATTTTCTAAATGTCTTTGAATGTTTTCTTTTGAATTAATTTGTCTTTGACAGAAAGTATCATTTCGACTTACTGTGTTTTCAAGCAAATACAGTCAGTGATTATTCTTTTTTCTTATAGTTTCAAACATGCAACACACTTTTGAAAAGTAATCTCTCAAGGGTGTTTTTGTATACAACCTTAAACTGTGGAAATTTTTTTTTCTTGATAGTACCTTCAATTTCTGTGCTTTTCCAGAGCCTAAGGAACAAGAATTTAATCTCAAAAATTAGAAAACAGAATTTTTGGTATGTAAATTAAATTTCCGTAAGACTCACAACCTGTCTATTGCTTCTTTAATGATTATGACTATGAATAAATAAATACTTATTCCTTAGAAATACAGCTACTCCTACTGAACTCATAAATGTGCTTTATTTTCAGTATGTTATCAAAGAGATTTTTTTTCTCTTGCTGTGACTAGCCTAAATTTTCTACTGTTCAAAAAGCCTGGCTTTCCAACACATATGTAGCTGGAGGCAAGCAGTCTAACATTTCACATCAAACCATAAACTCAGCATACTGAAAAATATATACAAAGATTTTCCATTACTCTAATATAAATACAGCCACATGCTTAGTACACTCTACAGCATCACTTGAATGATATTATTTTGTTGTATTAAGAATGATTTTATCTCACCAATAAACTATGGACAAGACTCTAATTCTTTCCCACTGAGTTCTTCATTTCAACAACCAAAATGCCATCATGGCAGAAAAGCGCAGACAAGTCTTTGTTCTCCACTCCATTAGGTAATTTATATTGTCTGGTAAAGCTTCTGGATATGAAACCATGTTCGTCCATCCTGGGTCCATGCTGAGCTTTGATCAGGAGCCAGCCTTCAAAAGTCTGAATAATGATATCTTCGGGGCGGAACTGCACAACATCCAGCAAGACCTGAAAGCGTGTGTTTTCCTCCTCCTGGTCGCTCTTCCCAGCCCCAGCTGTACTTTCCACGATACACCTTCTGTTGCTCAGTGCAGCTGTAGAAGGGCCCGGCAAAGCATATAAAGAGTGGTCCAGTTTGTGTGCTTCCAGCTCTTGGACAGCAAACTGCTCTTGGTAGCGTACGGGAGTTTCCACCCAGTGTCTTATAACAGCTTCTGCCATTGCTGAGGCAGAAAGATAAGTTGCTGCTCCTGTGTCGCTCTGGGGAAGCTGCAGAGTCAGAGCAAACTCTTCCCAGTCATATGCCTTACCCACAGACTAGTTTATCAGTTGATGTCGCCTTTCACTTTTAGCACAGGCAGAGCTTAACATTTAATAGGGTGTGCTGTGCTCCAGTGCAGGGAGACTTGTTTCATCTTTTATCCACTAACAATAGAGCACTATTTATAGTGCTGGGGTCTTGAGTGGCTTCAACACGTGCACAGCTTTCATGCATAAGTAGTAAAAGCAAAATTTTAATACACCTCTGATTATTGCAATATTGGGCTGTTTGTCATTATGAATAATGAGCAGACCAATAATGTGAAACATTCTATGATTTAAATGGAAGTTTAATGATTCTGGTTTTCCAAGGGATAGATACAAACTCTGTATTTCCTCTAACTGAAGCACAGGGATTTAATTAGCCTGACAATAGGAATGGAGCAGATTTCAGGTTAGGTAAACTATAAAATTATCAAGTGCATTGGACTTTGTTGCAGAAGTTGTGCATAGGTGAAATACAGGCATGGTTAACCATGTTATTGGTGGGAGGAGGGAACTGTAGCCATCCCAGCCCAAAGAAGAGGTGCCTGCAGGGCTGAGTCAGCAATCTTAGTGACCTACAAACACAGCAGAGCCTTCTCCAACGTGTCAGGGAGTCAGACTCAAGAGTTCAGGGAGAATGACAGTGAAAGCTCATGTTTCACAGCTTCCAGGAGAGGGCAGAGTTATTTTTCCCCAGCGGAACAGTAAAGACAACTCCAAATCCTTAGTGCTATCACATTGTCCCAGTGACCTTCATCTTCTGGGGCTTAACAGCTTGAATCTATGATCCCATCTAGCGCATGTGTCTGGGGAGGAGGACTCATGACCTCAAAGGCTCTCTGTGGTATAATCTTCTTGCTACTCTGTGATCTCAGGGCAAATAATGCCTACAAGTGTTAATAGTTTGGTTAACAAGACTGAAGAGGAAAGTGCAATTAAAAGGGAAAAGCATTTCCAAATTTTAGTATGTTTCCTAAAAGATCCATCCAGCTGGGCTTGGTAATGTAATGTAAAGCAGAATGCACTATGGCAACTGATGGTGAAAACTTTATTTCCCTCAGTTGCACTGATGCTAGAAATAATCAAGCAAGATACTTTCATTCCTTCTTGTTTGGCGATTGTTGTTCAGAGCTCTGTCCCTCTCTTGTCCTTACATCTTCCATTACCATGAAAATGGCAAGTCAGTTTCTCTGGGATCTTTGGTTGCTTATGGACTCACAAAGAAAAAGGCATTTGAATTTTGATAGCTATCAGAAATGAACTTCGGTATTGAGTCGATGGCAGAGCAGGATTACCAGACATATCTATAATTAAAGTTCTAAGGTTGCTATTTTATTTTAGACTGATGAAGCCTGTATCACAAGGTAAGGAAATTTTTGAAGGGAGATCAAAGGTTCAAGATAACTTACATTAATGGGCAATCATTTAATTGAGTATTGTGGAAAAGGAGAGTTATGCTACTTTATTTAACTATTGGCTCGTCTTCTGTCAAACTGCCCTCCAGAAATTATTTAAAAATGCAATTCCAAATGTATGGCTTGCTAAAATAGTGATAAAAATAACCTGGAGCATTGCCCATTATCTGTTCAGCAGCTGTTTTCTGTTTTGTTAGCCAATGATTCACTTGATGAAGAAACTTTAACCCTGAAGTGAAGGAGTATGCCTGGTTGGTTGTGATATTATGCTTTTAGAGACTGCTGAAAGTTATTGCTATCCCTACTGAATTCCGTGATGATAGCCTGACTTATTTTACTTCAATTTTGCACTTCATTAATAAATGTACTGTGCAGGAATACAGCATTCTTTTATTTTTTCTTTTATTTTAATTATTCCCATCTCCTCTGGAAAAAGGTAAACTTGCTTATACTTACACTTTAAATGAAAACAGAAACCACCACCTCAGTGCAGCTCACTGCGGGACAGCTACACCCATTCCCAGAAACAGTTGTGTTAGTCTTTCAAATGTCTATATTAAGCACACTTGGAACTGTCTGTCTGGTCTAATTAGCACAAAAGATGCTTTGAATAGCCTTTAAATTAATGTCATGCACAAAGCTCTACAAAAGTTCATGGGATCCCTTTCTATTCTGTAGGACAAGGGTTCGGAAAAATTTTGGTAAAGAAGCCACGTAGCCTCTTTCTTCTCTCCCATCCTGCTCTCTCCTGGGTCCCAGTCCCCTTTTCTCTCTGTTTGCCACCTAAGGGCTCAGGAATTAGCACCATCTTTCTTATCTCTTTGTTGCTAACACAGAGAATATGTCTCCTGGAAAAAGGAAACACCCTTGAAATGCAAACAACCCAGAATATATTTCTGGGCTTTCAAATTTAAACATGGACGTGGTGCTGCAATACTGAGGAACTCTTGATGCTTATGCTGCTATACTCTTCAAATATCTATAGCACGCTTCGGTCAAGCAATGCATTTTAAAAACAATTGATTACCGAGGTAGTTTTAAACCTACAGAGCAGATCCGGCAGGAACAGGATCGATGTCCTTAATTGCCAGCTCGGTGCCTCGCGTTTTCTTTCCCTGTTTTTCTGTGCACAGCGAAGGCCTCGCCCCGCGCTGCACAGCGGGTAGGAAACCACCGACTGGCGTGGGAAGTATTGCAGAGCTGTTCTTTGCAGAACTGAAGTGAGACAATTACCTATCGTGGCCTTGCACGAGTCAGTCCATGCTCGCTTTCGCTGATCGCACGTATTCATTGTCTCAATGTCTTTTGGGGATTTTTAAGGGAAAGGAACGGGATCCATGGGGAATTTGCAACGGTTGGCTGGGAGAAACACGGTGCCAGTATAAATGGGTGACACCGACATCTTGTGGTGAGACGAGAAAATAGCTGCGAACAGAAAATCACAAGCTGCCTGCGGCGTGCTAATACCAGGTATAGTTACCAGTCTGTGAGATACTTGTATGGAAAGACAAATCAAAGGACGAAAACCGCAAGAGTTTAACTTACAATAGGCTATTTTCAAGCCTTTATATAAGCTTCTTTCTCAGTATTTTTTTGGGGGGGGGGGGTGTGTTTAAATATTTGATTTATGTTGAACTCCTGGAAAATATAGAAAGCAGGCACCCTGGTAAAGCTGTATTGCAAACTGCAAAAATGTGAGGTGCACAAATTCATGAGAATAACACATTTTTGATGCATATCATAAAGAAATACAGGTGCATCCTGCTTGACACAACTTTAAAATAACAGATTGCCGTGTCACAATTCTCTGCATGCTTGATTCCCCAATGAGAAGTATGTATTTCAGCTACCATTGAAATTCAGTAACTGCTGAAAAGGGAAAAAACTGAAAAGGCTGGCAGGCTGAAGTGAGCAAGAACTCTTCTAGCAAAAGCTAACAGGCTGTATTCAAATGAGAGCCATGTAATTGTCCTAATGAATTTAGGCAGAGCACTGCAATTACTTTTACCAAAGCACCCAAGGATGCCACTCATGATCTACTTCACGTGTCATTCAAAAGAGGTGCTGTCCCTTCGGAACGGGCAATACGTAAGAAACGGAAGGAAAAGTAGGACTTGGTGGGTTTTAGCGGTGCTGGCTCTGCTATACCCAACATGGGAGGTTCAAGCTTTGTGGCAATACTGAAGAGCTAAACAGTAAAATAAAATGTATGTGAGAATGGAATGTGGGGTAACACTTATGGAAACTGGGTGGTAAAGAGCTATTTTTCACATGGTATTTAATATATTTTTGTAGAGTGAGAAAATTACTGTCACCTACTTGTGCTGCTTTGAGTCCATTACTTCTTAGAGCTGTGAGTTGTCCTTTTAGCTGGATTGTTAGATCTGGATATATGTAAGCTCTGAAGGAGCCAAAAATATAATCACAACTACTGCAAGTGTCTAATCAGCAGATACTAGGTGTTCTGTTTTCCAGAAATATTAAGGGTTCTTTTTTATTAATGTCTCATTCCAGTCACATGGTATTTATATTGGTCAGTGAATCACAACATAACTCTTTCTGCAGCCAGACTTCATGCTGTGTTCTAAAACTTCTTGCAAGTTGTAAAGCTTGGTTGAAGGAAGGCTTCAGTCCGTGGGTCACGTCCTTCAAAACCTGGAAAAGGCTTGATCTGCCCAGCCTCTTGGAAAATCTCTCCAGGGCACTGATGCTCACTTGTAACTGTAAACTCAATCTCCTATTTTAGAGGCCTCTTAAGAAGTGGAAAACTAATCTCAGGTTTTGCACTAAGAATCAAGTGTTTGCTCATTTGTTAGGAAGCTATGTAAGAAATATAAGTAAGCATGGAAAGGACTGTCATTTTGACACGTTACATCCACTATTACAGGACTTTTTTTTAACACGTTGAGATGATAGAGGGACAGAGGAAGGAGGATATGGGGGATGACAGGACCATAACAGCTGCTGTTGGAGCAACATCTTTACAGAACAGTGAAGGAATAAAAATGCAACTTGTATAATAAGGATTTTAAAATTTCAAGTTACTATAAAAGTTACTTGAAAGTGATGTCATGGAACTCTTTACAAGTATCTGCTTTGTTATTCACACGGCTTGTTTTCTAAACATTTTTATGTCTGTTATAGGCAAATGCATCTGTGCCTCATGAATTCTTGTAGAACTCCTGTAGAAAGCAAACTGTAGTATTTTATTTAGAGTGATAATAATCTGTTCACTTCTTGCACACGGAACAGTAGAGAGGAAATGAACAATTAAAAGAGAATAACATGCCTAAGGGCTTGGAAGCTCTGTTTTGCCACTGAAAGGCAGGATGTAATGCACTCTTGTTGTAGAAACAGTCTTATTTTTCACCAGTTAAAAATTAACTAGTGTTCCAAGAAGAATGCCTATTTTCAGGTTTCCTCCTCCTCTGCCTCACTGAAGTCTTGACTTGAGACTGGATAGGAATAACTCAAGGCAGTTGAGTACAGTAAGACTGGTGTATTTATTTTGGATCTGTTTA